GTCCAACTTTTTAGCTACAGTGATTTGTGCTAAAAATGCTGATGTTGTTGAAAAATAATAGATTTATCAGGATATTTTCCTTTAGATATTCTTAGTAGACATACGTTTTTGTTATGAAAGCCCTTTGATTAGTGTGTAAGTGGTTGACACTTCAATAATGAACATGTAGGCTTGTTTGACATCATTTATTAGATGTAATTGATTGGAAAAGTCCAAGGTAAACCTGAGCAACTGTATCCCAGACATCATAAATCGTAGCGCACTGTTGCCTCTAGAACAGGGACATCCAGAATTAGATCACAGTACGTGATGAATGGAGGCATTAATTGAAAATCGTCACTATAGGTGCACAACATATTGAGATTTTGGCACAGAGCCTTGCGTGCAAGATAAGGTGTGGAGAGAAAAATGAGAGTAAATGAGGAAAAATGGAGAAAGGAGGCGACGAGAAGGACAATAGGCAAATGAAGGACATACAATGCCTGAAATCTATAAAGTCTATGGCTTTGCCATTTTTTGAGTCATTGATTTCTCTAAAAACTAATAGGCTAATTGACATGGATTAATTTAAATGTAACCACTTTTATTAAGTGGCTGTAGAAATACAAATAAACTCTTGTACTTCAATAATTTATGCTTTCTAAATCCAATGGTGTGTTGAAAGGGATAGTTCCACAAAAAATGAAAATGCTGTTTTCCGCTGTTATACAACTTTTTTTGTTTGTTTTTGACATGGTAGTTAGGTGGTTTGCGCTGTCCCCTCAAAGCAGGAAGGTCACTGTTTTGAGTCCCGGCTGGACTAGGAGGCCTTTCTGTGTGGTGTTTGCATGTTCTCCCCATGTTTGCATAGGTGTCCTTCAGGTAATCCAGTTTACCCCACAGTCCAAAGAAATGCGGTATAGGTGAATTGGATAAACTACTGTATATTGGCCGTAATGTGTGAAACCTTTTCTGTAAACTGTTAAAGGCATCCATAAAATTTACAGTAAAAAACAGCTGATGTGGTTGCCAGTATTGTATCGTTAAAACACAGTACAATCTGTAAAATACATTTTATTTTTATAGTAACACCCAGGGGCATCATGGTGGCACAATGGATAGCATGGTTGACTCACAGCAAGAAAGTTGCTGGATCGAGCCTTGCCTGGGTCAGTTGACATTTCTGTGTAGAGTTGGAAGAGCATTCGCTGGGTAAAACATATGCTGCATAACTTGGTGGTTCATTCCACTGTGGCAGCTCCTGGATAATAAAGGGAAAAGGGTGAAAAAGAAAATGAATAAATGAGTAAACAGCTATGTTTAATTAATTTATAATGTTAATACAGCAAAGTTTTGAAGTACTAAAATCACCACTTAATATCCTGTTACACAACAATTTGATTATGAGAAAGTCATGATTAGGGCACCGGTACCTGTGTAAACAGTATGTACCGGACCGAATATGCATATGAACTTAGGTGCCTAGGACGTAGGTACACGTTGTGTCACACTATCTCTAAACATTTAATTCTAAACAACTTTGAGGGATACGGACACCGTCTGCGATGTTAGGCGTTCCGCAACACGGGAACTTATGCATGTAGGCAACGTGCACAGTACAGCGCATCCAGTGAGCGGCTCCCTTCAGATTCATCAAAACACATAATCGCATTCATCAAATTTGCTTAAACTAAGCATTCTAAAGCATGGCTATGTGTTACATGCAAGGATTCTGACTCACCAAAGTTGCTTGTAAGGGGGGGAAACACGTCAAACTTATTGAAACAATTGAGGGCACAGGGAATCAACTTAAAGGCAGAGGAATGCAGGAATGTCTTAGACAGCTTGAAACACCTAGTACTTTCATTGACTATGTTTACATGGACACCAATACTCTGATTTAATGTCATTAAGACAATACTTTGATTACGAGTCAACCATGTAAACATCTATTTTCGATTACCTTAAAGGACCACAGACATCTGCGTCACGAAATGCGGAGGTTTTTTCTCTCCATTCGGCGTGCGGTGTCAAATTCTATTAAAACAACACTCTTCTGCCAGTAGGCCTACTTACTTCATATTCTTATCCAATACCTTAGCTATGATGGGGCATGAACAATATGTTGCTGAATGAAAGTGAAAGTGCCGAACTGCAGTTAAAGTCGAAAAGTTACAAATAAAAAACACAAAATTACATGAAACTCTGGAGAAAATGTGGATAGTGTGGTGATGCAATAACTTTAATTGAATTATGTGCTATAACACGTAAAACAGGATCATAAAAGAAACATTTAAAGAGCAACTCATGTAAACACCTTAATCATATTGTCTTATTCAGATTAAGGCAAATAATTAGATCACTGATGTCCATGTAAACGTAGTCACAAGCCCCAACCCTGGAGATAAGGTGTTCCTTGATTTTGATGACAGCCTTTCCACAGGTTTGTAGTAAGCTAATGTAATGTTAATTGGGTAATGCAAATCTTATATTCATTCTAACAAATAAATAATCAAAAGAAATAAATGAATTCAATTCAAATATATAAAATATGCATTGATGTTTACTTTAAACTTTAATTATACTGTTCAATTAAAATGTTTAAAATATATTTTTTGTCAAATAACACCACCATAATTTTGTGGCTCAAAAGTGTCAGTTCAGGCGCCATTTTGGCACCGGATATAGATTTAAAAAATTTAAAAAGAACCATAGTAATGCAACAACAAGCATAAAAAGTGAAATGTCATGCAGGGAATTCTTAGAAAGTCAAAACACTTACTGTATATATTTAGAAAACTTTCTGTAAACCAGGTTATGGATTTGTTATGGCCACAGTGTGGTATTTATTTAATAAGGCTATTTTATTTTAGGCAATATTGTGATATTATGCATTCAAAACGGTATGCTAAAATTGCTTTAGCATTGCTTGTCAGTGTTGTTTTAAGCGGCTGGTATGGCTAACCCCCGATCACAGTGAACAATGTAGTTTTGGCCTACTCCCTCTTTTGCTATTTAGCATAATTAATTTGATCAGCCTACAGTAAGGCTCAGCGCTTTCATGCCTCCTGCCACTGTTAATCATATTCATGTGCTAACTGGACAAACGACAGACTTCACGCTGGACTGACCGGGACCAAACAATGCAATTAATTTTGTCGTGGTTGGGATCATAACTAGCTTGAGATGTGATGATGAGTACAATATCATTATTTGTAATACAAAGACATTGCATATAGAGCTATTTTTAAAAAGTCCACTTCAAAACTGAGTTTCTGTATTTACTGGATTTAAAAGGTTTATGTGTTTGAGAAAAATGTTACAATTTGGGTAATTTTAAAATCGTTTGATAACATTTCTTTCTAATAGTAATTGAATATTGTCCTTTAGAGCACAATTGGCAAATAATTGTTGGCTTTGAGTCACTTTTATTTCACCAAATAGTGATTTCTTACCTCAGTTAAAACATTGCTAATGTGTCATAAAACATGATATTTGTATTGAGTTGAGTTGAGTTGTACTTTATTGTCCTTTTTCAGAAAATTTGTCTTGGACTCAAACAGCATATTTGTCTTTGACTTAATACACATACAAAAGAGACAACATGTAACATTTACCAACATCAATGAGATTTAAAAGACCTTCAAGGTAGTTTACCATTTACAATGCTAATTGATACTGGTATAAATTATTTCTGATTATAATGATTATTTTTACACAAAGGAACTCTTTATCTCTTCCTCGATAGCAGTACGTCATACATTGGAAATAAAACGTGATTTAGATCATTTGCTAATTATGCATTGCTAAAAACCAACAACATGTTGACTGAATGGGGTATATGCTGAAGCATGCTAATAGGACTTTTAATTTGCCATTAACCTGTTAAGCACTTCGGGCGAGTTGAATGACAATGCAAAATCCGGTGCGTTTAAGGTCTGTTTTCTTTAAAAATCAGCGATCTCCACTAACTGAGTGATATCCGATTTAAGGTGGGTCTCAGATTGTACAAGCACTGCATTAAATTACATTTCCCCCGCCATATCTTTATAGTATGAGCATTTATTTTACCCCAGTATATTCAATGGAGCTTTTGCATTAGCCTGCCGATTCTGACGGGCGTATGCAAGTAAACAGCTTTTTGTCTCGTTTTACGCTTGAGCAACTAAATAAATGCTAAAGTTTATTTAACTGAATGTATTTTAATGACATTACAACATCGATGCTGTAAGGAACCGTATAAAATGGGAAAAAGTTCGCAATAACAGGTCACCGGAAGTGTATCCGCATGGGAACAGCACTAGTTCGGCATATACCCTATTGATATATGGTACATTCTACCAGAAATAAAAACATAAATACAGTAAATAAAGTATTTCTTTTACTTTATTTAGGATTTTTTTACTTTATTAAAAACACTTTACAAATGTACAGACCCTGTCATTCTCCTTGAACTTATACAGCTTTAATAGTTTTATCCTAAAACTGTTATTTAGAAAAAAAATACTTCAGAAATAGCAAGTTTAAGTGGTTATCGTTCACATAATTTGAATAAAAACATGAAACTATAAAAAAAAGCCTACAAATAAATACTACAGATATATAATACAAATAAATGTACAATTGTCCCCATGTTTCTGTCAGTCCTGTCACTTTTGCATTAAATTGAACATAAACTGTGTGCAATACACGTTTAAGGCTATGACTGACTCAGAAGTGACATAATGTGACTGAGGAGAGGCTGACAGTGATCAAGGATGCATTCTGTCATTGAATTGTATGATTTTATGCTTGTTTTTGTATGATTTTTGGAGAACAAGCTTTAGTCAGGCCCTGTCACATTTCTTATGTGAAAATGTACATATGTTAAAAATGTCTTGTAGAATGTCCCAAGTACTCTCTTTCACCAATCACTTTCATGGCAATTATAACAAGACGTGCAAGTTGATTGAACTGAAAGACTTCCATACCAAGCCTGCATACCATAATTTGGAAAACTTCCCAAAACTGCTTGATAAAACAACAAGATGAGGATTTTTCTTACACCAATCAGTCGAAGCATTACAATTGCAATGAATGACAAGATTTCCTATTTAAAATTTGGAAGAAATGAAATCAGTACCCAGCAGGTGAAGGTCATCAACATGACGTCAGATTGACATTGTGCCCCAAAGTCAAGGAACGTTGCTTTTTGTTTGGAAATGAAAATCAGGTTGACGTCAGAACCTGAAGTCAGGCCGATGTCAATGTCCAACTTCGGCCAGACGTTCCATTTTGGTTACGTTCCAGTGCAACCTAAAAACAACAAAATATCAGTGTCTAATGGTGCTACAGCTTGACGTTGTGTGGACGTCACCAATATGACATCTAATAGATGTTGGATTTTGGTTACCATACTTGACGAACAAATATCACTGTTTGAAGTCAATATGACATTGGTTTAAGATGTTGGCCCAACATTGTCACTTTCCAACACAACCCAGAATCAACAACAAAATATCAACGTCATTTCACATCTTTATTGGATGTCAAAAAAACATTGTCAAAAAAAACATTGCCAGCATAGATGCTGGCAACCTAAATCTAACCCAGTATTAACATCATATGACGTCGTGTGCCTGCTGGGTAGTTTACTGAATAAAATTGTGTTTTTTCCAAAACATAACAAAGAGAAACTAAAATTATTTAAATTTATTAAATTATATATTGGATTTTTAATATATTTTTTATTACTTTTTTAGCAGAATGTTCAATAATAAACTTTTTAATGTCAAGATGAAGACTACAGCACAAGCACAGTTAAATTTCTGGTTAATTTTTAATTTAGAGTTACAAACTCTCTTAAAAGTTGTCACCGTGACTCAGAAAAGTTCCCGAGGAGTCATGAAAATCAAAAAATGAAACTTCAAAACGACAAAATGTCTTTAGAGCTAGTTAAAAAGGTGTTTGTTTTTTGCATATTTAATTGGACAGACATTATGTTTTTCATTTTGGAAATGGAGCGCTGTGGAAACATATGTTCACCAAGCCCCAGCAGATGTCCATCGCAGAGCTGCGGCACAAACCCAGAAAAAGCATGCGGGCATCACAAGCACTTTGAGCTAGCGTGCCACGGGCATGCTTCACTCTGGCTGTAACATCTCCATCGTGCTCATCCGAGACATTCGTGATATTTCAAAAAAACCTAGTGAATCTGAACCTTACCAAATTGTCATCCAATACGGACGAATCAGCAGGGGGCAAAAACAGTGAAAAACAGTAAATGGGGGGGGGGAAGCTAAGATGCTCGTATTCACAACACATTCATGCATATGAATAACGGCGGGTGAGAAGGAGAGTCGGCCAGAAAAGAAACAGAATATGGAAGTGTTGCCATCTGCAGTGCGTCTCGTGTTTGGCAGCGGCGTCCGCTTGCCCCCCTTTCACAGCGAGCGCAGATTAACAGACAAGCAGAGCTGTCTGGCAGTCACACTGGCCTGGTGTAGCGCCGTCTTCCCCCCCAAGAGATGGCATTAAAAGAGCCTCTGCACTTTGTGATACTGCCACTGTTCTGAAAACAACACCTTTCGCAAACTCAAACGTTGGGAGATTTCCAAAATCACCTTTCTGCTTTGACAACAAAAGTGTATTTTAGCTCTCTGATCGGATTTTCCCCGAAGTCCTTGAGTTACGCAAGTTTCTCAGTTAAATCCTGATATATACGGAAATGGGAAATAGTTTTGGACCTTTGTTGTTTTACTGATGGTTTAACGGCCATATTTAATACATTCAGTCATTTATTTTCCTTTAGCTTAGTCTCCAATTTATCAGAGATCAACACTGTGGATATGTTTTACACAGCGAATGCCCTTTTAGCTGCAACCCAGTACTCTCATTCACACACATACACATACACTACAGCTAATTTAGTTCATCCAGTTCACCTATAATGTATAACTTTGGACTGTGATGGAAACCGGACCACTCGGAGGAAACCCACATGAATACAGAGAGAACATGCAAACGCCACACAGAAATGCCATCTAGCCTGGAATTAAACCAGCAACTTTCATTCTATAAGGCGACAATGTTAACCACTGAGCCACCGTGCCACCCTTATATTTACTACAAACAAAAAAACATAGTTTAAGTCTTGTGAAAGCAGAGTTGGAGAGAGATGGAAGAATGAGCCTTTATGAAACATGACACTGTTGGCAATATTGTCTGAATTTACAGAATCGTGAATTCTAAAAAAGTTTTTAATCTAACTTTTAATCCATTATGCCAGTACTTCTGCACTCTTTTGTAATGGTTTAAGTTTTCTGCACAATAATGATTCCAAACACACTACACTGTAAAAAATAAATAAATAAATAATAATCAATACAATCTTATGGCAATTCGTAACTTCTTGATTCTGTGGCTAATTCAAATAAATTCGTATGATCTCATTCATACATTTTACTATGACTTGCTCATCCCCCAATGACCATTAGGTTAAGGGGCGGGGTTGGGTGCCATGTCTCCTATTTAAAATCGTACATTTTCATACGACTAAACTCATAAGAATTTATACAAGTTGGCCACTAAACTGACAAGACGTAAAATTGTTACATTTTCTTAAAAGATCAGGCTGTTAATATTATATATATTCGCTAAAAAGCAATTTTCCATATTTTGTGATTTATTTTTGTTTTGGTTGCATTATGGGACTTTATCTTTTCTCCAACAACCTTTAGGACCAAAATAAAGTGAATAAACTGAATAAAGTGTTTTTTATTGACATTTTTAATAGCTTGAAGTGATAAATTGCCTGGTTTGCTGTTGCAAATTACATAACAAAATCCCGGTAATAAATTTACAGTTGAAGTCAGAATCATTAGCCCCCCTGAATTATTAGCCTCCCATTTATTTTTTCCCTAATTTCTGTTCAGCAGAGAGAAGATTTTTTTCAACACATTTCTAAACATAATAGTTTTAATATCTCATTTCTAATAACTGATTTATTTTAATTTTGCCATGATGACAGTAAATAATATTTGACTAGATATTTTTCAAGACACTTCTACAGCTTAATGAGGCTTAACTAGTCGACAGTAACAGTTTCAACTGAGGAGTTCATGAGTAGTGCCTCTCCAAGTAAAGTCATGACATACTTATACATTAACAGCTCATGAGTTCATGTTGGTTACATTTAGCTTAAAATGAAATGTTAATTAATGCATTAATTAACATGTACTAACAAGTTTTAAGGAAGCCGTTATCCACACATGAACTTATATGACTCATGTTGTAGTTAAAATTAGTTCGGCATTAGTGCGCACCTTTACTCACCATAATTCATAATAAGTAATGTTTAGTTTACATATTAATAAATCATTATTTGTGTACTGTTTGTTTACTGTTTATTGTTTTAAACTAATAAAAAAACAATAAAAGACACCTTTAAACTGCGGATGGTTCAGTTCTTAACAGAGCAGAGATCAACATCCCATAAAACAATTCATAACCCTAAATAAACAGAAAAACACATGGGAATCACACAAATTTAGAAGAAACACAAGAGTTTGACCTGTACAGAAAAAGAAAATGATAACAGCATAAATCTAAAGAATTAAACTGGGAGAGCCTGATCACATTTATTCAGAACACTTTAGGACAGTCTCCCAAAAATAACTGTTAAATTTGTGTTTGGTGCCAAGAGAGGTCACACTAAATACTAAAAAAAATATAGCTTGAAGTCATTTTGCTCTTTTTCATTTCTCATTCTGTGTACATTTAAGCCTCTATAATCTATACAGAAGACCTAAAGAGACTGAATTTATTTGAAAATGGATAAATAATGTGCAAAATCCTTAGGCTAGTGTTTAGCGACTAAGCTAATGCGCTTACTGATTTTGTCTGGCCTATAGGACATTGTTACCTCCTCGTAAGGCTTCAGGTCTGGTGTCAGACTCTGGAACAAGCCTGGATTTGGACACCGGGGCCAAGACTTAAAGAGTGTCACTGCTGGCCTGTAAAGTGATTCTTCTTACATCCAGCCGTCTTTCGGGTTTAAATGTTAATAGGTAGCATCGCTGTCCAAGATCAGTGTTGAGGCCCAAGAAACCTAAGGCCTGAAAAGGGTTGCTAAATTTTTAATACATGTATGTGTGGTTTTGCATTGAGCGTTGGGGCTCATGTGGGCAATGTAGGTTTGAATCCATGTTGAGATTTCGTTTTTAGCTGCATTGTTTTCTGTCCTTACACACTGTTGTTAGAAATAAAAGTGGATGGGTATTTTTGTTCGTATGTATAAAGGTGTTTTGATTTTAAAAATGGGTAAAAATTTACTTTTTCAGGTTTCAAACAAATTATGAAAAATTAGGGATGCATGATACACAGTGCTCAACATATATAAGTCCCCCCTCACAAATTTTTCTTTTAAATTCATATTTTTAATAGGATGCTATACAATATTATATTTGTGCATAAATATTAGACTAGTCAGTACTGAAGCCAAATCTGGAGCTAACAAAATAACAAAAAACTTGTACAGCTATATTTATGTTAGAGAACAATCTTAATACAAATTTAAAGAAGAGGAAAAAACTGAAGACAATTATCAAATATTTAGTTGAAATTTTGAAGGTTATTATTTTTTATTGCAATATTTTGCTTTAATTTAATTGTATTGTCTTTCAATTTCTAAATATGTTTGGTGAATAAAGTATAATTTTAATAAATATATTTGTTTAATGAATCCATTGATACATTGCCATTGCCAATCCAAAAATACATTGCTTATTCACTGAGAAATGGCTCAAAATATTCAATTTTAAAATGTGGTGTATTCGGTTATGCTGAGCACTGTATGGGCTGCCATATTAATATTGACAGATAAATGCTTATTTCCAATGTTACTGATGTCAGATGTCAGCACACTAAGAAATGTTTGCATATTAAAATGTAAAGTTATTTATATTATTTTTGCTGACCGTGATAATTTTGACTGTGACAGTACCTCTCACAGGACTTTTTTTTTGGGAAAAGGAGACATTAGAATTGGAATTTGTTAATGATTTCACAAAAAGAAAGATTTTGATGTTTCTTTGCGGTTTCCTTTTTTGTGCAAATATGGTTTTATCTACTGTATTTGTTTGCCTCAGAAAT